AGACTGTGTGAGTCTGGAGCATAGATAGCTAGCATCTGCCAATGCTGGTGTTGAACATTAAATATATATAAGATTCATTTAGAAGTTAGGTAAATTTAGTACAATAACCGACGGGATGTTGGTCCGTCCCAAGGTGATATCAAGACCAAGCTTTTTGTCAACATTTCAGAAAAATGGCATTAGTTTTTCGAAAAAGTTATAATTACTAATAAATATGCAACTTTTTCGTAGAAAACAGCTGAAAATCCTTTTAGAAAATATTTACGTCATGAAAATATGAAATAATTTCCTACTACCATTTGTTGCCATATTTTATCGTTTCTAAGCAATTTAATATATTTACAAGGAATTTCGTAGGTTTTAATATAGCATTGATTCTTTTTGTCATTTAAAATAAATATCAAAATAGAAAACATTTTGTACTTTTTACTATTTTAGTAAAAAATATAATTTGCCAGTAATATGTAACTTCCATCTCTGTTTCATCTGGTAATCCGCAAAACCCTAATAAAGAAAACGACAACCATTTTCTTAATAAATTGGTTTCAAATGACGCCTGACAACTAATTAGCTACTTTCATCCAATTTGTCATATTTATTAGGTTTATTTTTCATGCTTAATTTTGCATATTTTTTTCTAAATATAAACCTGACTTTTATGTAATTCAATATTTTAACTTACTTTATTTATATCCAAAAAAAAAAAATATATTTTTTTAACTCGCTTTGGATTTTCAACAAAAAAGATAAATAAAAAGTAAGAAACAGATTTTCAATGGAATTACATTTCGGACAGTTTTTTTTTTTTAATTACCGAAAAAAGGATTTCGATTTGAGAGAAGTTAAAATAACAATGAAAAGATCAGAAGCGATGCTAGAAGTCTTCAAGTACCAAAAGAAATTATCCCATATCCACCATCTTTATAACAGATCTTGTGTTGATTGAAATATTGAGATGTTTCAAGTCTAAATTGAATAGAACGTTAATTCTTGGATATTCAACATTTTGACCCTTTGTGGGTGAGATACCAGAAGGAGAGGACCCAAATATCCCATCTGCACAGCAGATGTTGTTTTAGTATAAATAATGAGATGTGTGAAATATGAAGAAAACCGGATGCTTATTTCGGATTTTATGATCGTTTTGGTTATTCAAAACTTTGAGCCTTTGTGTGGGAGGTACCAGAATGAATGGTCCGATATCTACCACTTTATAACACATCTTGTGTTGATGGAAATATTGAAATATACCAAGACTGAATAAAATCGGATGTTAATTTCGGGTTTTAGGAGCTTTAGGAATACTCGAAATGTTGACTCTTTGTGGGGGAGGTACCAGAAGGAGTGGACATATATATACTGTGATGCGTATCATTTGAAGACAATCCGACTTATACCAAACATTGTATAAGATTTATAACTATTATTTTGACCCTTTGTGTGGGAGATACTTGATGAAGCACTGATTCAAATATTAGGATTTACAAAGTTGGAGCAAAATCGGATTATCCTTTCTTTCTTCGTGCAGTTAATTATTTGCTTTAAAAATGTTGACATGGTACTTCCACCACGTACCAGAAAAAAATAGACCCTATAGCCTATCTCCGAATTCGACCTATGTTTGACAATAACATTACGAGATACCAAGTTTAGACCAAATCGGGTACTCCCTTCGAGAGTTATCGTGCGCCAAAGATCCAGACAGAAGGACGGACAACCCTAGACTGACTCCTAATGTTTTGAAACGGATTTGACGATGAGGCACGTTTTGGCCGTATCAAATGATATATACCCTCTGTGGCCACATGGCTGAGGGTATAAAAAACCCCAGCCTTTATCCCAAATTCACTGCACAATATCCAGTCCTAGTTTTTTCCACATCCCAATATTTCTAACAACACAAGATCAGGTATGAGGAACGGATAAATCGAACCTTTCCTTTTGATACCTCCCCCACAAGGGAGCAATATTATGAATAAACAAACATGAGGCAACTTGAAACAACCTAATACTAAACAAGATCTTCTATGGATATATAATATATCGGTCCTCTCTTTCTGGTACCTCCCCACACAAAGCGTCAAACTTTTGAATAATTATAACTCCCATAACATGCGAAATATATCACCGATTTTCTTCAAATATTGTATATTACAATATCCTTACCAACAAAAGATCTAAGGTAATTATTAAATTGATGGACCCACTCCAACCTTTCCCACTTTAATAATTAAAGGCTTATAAATGCGATATAAATCAGCCATTTTCTTCAAAAATGTTTATGGGGTATAAGAACCCCCTCTTTCTGGTGACTTCCAAAAAAAGTTGAGCATTTTCAAAAGTCAAGTAATTTTTAAGATTTGACCATGTTTCCCATTGAATTTCACCAAATGTTGACATTTTGAGTTCTTATTATGTAGAAACGGTATTGACAAACAGGTAAAGAAGCATCAAAGTTCGGCCGGGTCGAACTTTTTATACCCTCTACCATTCGAAGGGAGCCTGAAAAATTAAAAAAAATCACCTTCGAAAAATACCGCTCAAATGAAAACCTATATATGGGGGCAATACGAAGACGTGGTGCTGGATATTTTTTTTTTTTTGTGATAGGCTGTAGTAATGATTCCAAACTTCAAAAAGGAAATTTGACGCAATTCTGGTGAATAATGTCGTAAATATAATCAAAATACCGAATAAAGGGAGGTACCGCTGTATAGGGGATATACTAAGACGTAGACCTACATAGAAAATTTTCCGTCTACCGTTCAAATGAAAACCTTTATATGGGGGCTATACGAAGACGTGGTGCTGGCTAAGTTTTTTTTTTTTTTTTTTTTTTTTTTTTTTTTTTTTTTTTTTTTTTTTTTGATAAGCTGTAGTAACTATTCCAAACTTCAAAAAGGAAATTTGACGCAATTCTTCCATTCCTACATAGACAATTTTCCTTTATAGGTTGTAGTATGAATTTCAAATATGAAATTTGACACAATTGCGATGAATAATGTCGGGTAAATCCTAGAAATACCGAATATCTCGGAGTAACGTTATATGGGTGTTATACTAAAACGTATTCTTTTCCAGGCGGTAAAGGAATCAGAACTCATTTTATGGATTTTCAGACTATTCCATTGAAAAATTTGGCTAAAAGCATCAAAAAAAAAAGCCGAATATCGGGGACATATTGTATAGGGGCTATACGATATCGTGAACCTATATAGAAAATTCTCTTTCGAGAAATGTGTCTGAAATCATCAAAATACCGAATGCCAGCAGGTACAATTATATGGGGACTTTACGATATCGTGGACCTATATAGACAATACTGTTTTGGGGGGATATGTGCTCAGAAGAAACTTCTTGTGTGTATTTAAAGCCCAAAATCCCAATATCGTAGGGCACCATTGTATGGGGACGAAGACGTGGTCCTGCATAGACAATTTTCTGTGGTAAGCGGTGATATCCATTACGAACTTTAAATGCCAGATATGAAACAATTCCGATGAATAATGTCGCTAAATTCATCAAAATACCAAATATTGGGAAGTACAGTTACATGGGGGCTATACGATATCGTGGACCGATGTGGCCCATCTTCGAACTTGGCCTGCCTGCAGACAAAATACAGATCGGTATAAAATTTAACTTCCTATATTTATTTGTTTTGACTTTTTTGTTGGTTACAGCAGGCGGACGGACGGACGGACATGGCTAATTCGTCTTAGAATTTTACGCTGATCAAGAATTTAATTACTTTATTGGGTCTAAAATTATTGTTTCGATGAGTTACAAACGGAATGGAGAGAGGTTAAAACAGCAATTATAGGTGAGAACTTGCCCCCTCTATTTAGGTTGGCGATGTAAACTTTCAAAGCGCCGGTACAGCGCCTTCTTTTTTAAGCTCTTCTTTCAAAATCTGCTGCATTTTCCCCGTTATATTTTTGTTTTTTGCACTGTGTAATAAAACATTATATGGTAAAGAGGTTTTTATCTAGAAAATTTCTATTTTATATTCTGTGCCTCCGCGGTATGTAGTAGTTTACGAATCATTATTTGAAAGAAAAGTGTTAAGAATTCTTCAAAAATAACATACGATGCTTACGTCTCACATAGGAAACACTTCTTATTACAAAAATTCAGAATTCCTTCATGTCTATATCCGAAATAATGCATGGAAATGTGCCAGGTCCTTAAAAACACGAGAGTGATTAATACACCATTTTTTTGAAATATTTTATTGCAAAAAACACTGTTGCTTTAATAAAATTTCGATCAGCTAATGAGCTTATTAGCAGGCAGTTTTAATAGGTTTTGGATCTCTCATATTTTATATTTTTCTACCCACATATGCTCCAGCGAATTATGTTTCTTAAATTTACATAATTTTATATTATCCCATAAACAGTCGGCGTCTTAGGCGGTTTTACTTAAAAAAAAAAATGTTTTTATAGGGCAGAATCATTTTTATATATACGATTTTTATTAGCCCTCTACCATTGTTGTATACAACTAATATTCATATATTTTAATCCCATTACAGAAATACCGTTATAGGTATTTGTAAAACATCTTCTGTTTTTTTTTAATTAAATACTAGATTTTTCGACCTAACACACATCGTGATTCACATCTCTTTCAAAATGTTCGTTGATTGACACTATTACCCTGATATTCTTTAGATTGATGTTCTTTTTTAGTTGGCTTTCAAAAATAGTCTTTTGTTTAAATAGTAAAAGTAAACTATTATTAGCATATGAACAATGGCATTGTGAAAGAAATGTCAATAAGTGAAACTAAGCAAAAAACCGAAAACCCCAAGAAAGACTTATAAAAAGATTATTCAAATTTTGTTTGCAAATTTCTTTCGGTAGACATGGATCGGAAGAATGAAAATCTTTAAATAAATGTGAATGTAATATGCCAACAGTTTAGTTTTTAACAAAACGCAAAGAATACAACACATAAATCTTGATAGAGCCAGTAATTGTAATTTTCAAATAATTATGAATTTCGTGATTCTGGTTGTCCTACTTGGACTCCTTGGATGCAGCACCATAGCCGAAGGTAACTACAAAAATATTATAATTTTCATTATTTTCATATTTAATGTGTTTAATTTTATTTCCAAAGCCCAGGTATTGGTACGCATTAAACCCGTAAGTGCGGAAGAATATCAGGCCCTATTGGAATTGAGAACTGAGGGTAGTGAATCGAAACGTTCAGAAAATGGTATTTTCAGTGGGGCCTTGTGGGAAAATGTTGGACGTTATATTGAACAATTGCTGGGCAGTAATCGCCAGACAAAGGCATTGGGTGGCTTCCCTCTCTGCTCTATTCATGCTCCGACCACTGAAATGGCACGACAGCTGGATGTGAACCGTTTCCGTAGCATAGAGGATTTTTTGAATTCCCTGGGCGATCAAAATGACAGAAATAAGGGTACTCCCGTCATTAATTGTGTCTTGGTGGTCGATGACAGCAAAACAACCACGACGACAACCACTACTACCACAACAACGACAACCCCAAAACCCGACACTGGCACTAATGGTGATATAATAACAAGATTTGGTGGTTACTTCCCCGGTTTTGGTGGCTATCCAGGACTCTATCCTGCATATTTGGATTCCCCATATGCCAACTATGCCCTGAGAAAACCAAACAGTTATCCCGATTATTCTGCATATTATCCACCACCCCCTCCTCCACCACCATCACCCGAATACACATATGTCTTGGTACCCAAACGTCCACCAACAACAGTCGATTATGCACGTGATGTGGAAGACAGAGAGGAAGTACAACAACAGCATGAACAACAGCATGAACAACAACAAGAACAATATCCTCAACAATATTTACACCTGAAACCAATTTCCAGCGCTCCACGAAAACAACGTCCCCATACTAAAGCATCCAAGCCGTCAGCACGACGCCGTCATGTTCCCCAGCAAAAACAACATGTCAGCCCATTTCCTAAAACTTTTTGATTTTAGCCGACCGAACTGTAGCAGCACCAATAACAAAAACAACACCACCAGCAATAATTTTTATCCATCAACAAATGAAATCATCCATGAACTGACTGACGTACGCACGCCTGTACGCACGTTCACACACATCAATCCCACCACATCCATTTAAAGAATTTGAATAAAGAACATGGCGATGACGACGAAGAGAGTTTGTTAAGATCCGCTTAAAACGTTTTGTTTCATTTCATGTGTGCGTTTGTGTGTGTGTGTTTTTGCTCTGCGCCTCCTTTGAAATGGAGGAAAAAAGTGTTACAAGGTCCTTTCCATTTACATGTTGTATAAACACATATGTAGGTCGGCAGATACGATGAGAAGAAAAGTTTGGTAGGTTAGTCCACAGGGAGGCCTTTTTTGGAGCAAGAATTCGAGGTTTTTACGATTTAAAAAAGTGGTTCAAGTTCTTCTAACCTTCTAAAGATCGGAAAGTCCTTGAGCTTAAAATAACTTCAAACCTATACAAATTTTATGGTTACGGAAAATGGTATAGCCGGAACTATTTACACAAAAATCAGTTCCCACATGTTGGATAAGTATTTGACACCTTTGAAACCCTTATAGCTTAGGTGGACGCGGCTCCCTTAATCAGGAAAGAAATATATTTCTCTAGGAATCTTTTTTTAGAAAAAATGGAAAAGTTTTTCATAACCTAAACTTGAGGGCCATATTATGTGAGAATTTCAAATAAATGCACTTTTTCCATCAAGGCCCTTGAGGAGGCCCCTTTCTGCACACACGAAATCTCTTTGGTCTCCTAAATCCCTTTTAAAAAGCGATTGTCCTCTTTATATTTATGTGCGTGTGTGTATGTTTGTATAACATAAAGTCGGCATGAGTGTTAAGTTTTGTTTTCCAAGTTGATGTTATTTTTTACGTTTTTCCAAAAAAAAAAAAAAAACAAAAGAAAAAAAAAAACAAATATTGGACAATACGACTGTTGTCTCAAAATATCCTGTGGCAAAAAGTGAAAGTGTTTTTGTTGTTGTTATTGTTGTTACAGCATATTTTGGTGTTTCAAAATACAATAACGTCGTCATAACAGTAACGACGTCAAAGCAAGTTCCACGTAGACTTAAAGCAGCTGTGGTAAGTGAAAGTTGTAAATCTTAAAAAAGGTGGCAAAAGAACAGCAGTACAATAACACCTCGTTAGGATATTTTTGAAAAATATTCCAACTCATCATTAATGGAGGAAAAACAAGAAAAAAATCATTTTGATACCCTTGTCCATGTTATATAAAAATAATGGTGGATATATCTTTAAATACATGTTTGCGTTCCAGAAGATTCCGTTCTCAGAAAATTCCGATGAAAAATTAAAGAATAAAACTCGACCTTCTTTTAAAAAAATTGGAGTTCTCTATCTCACTTCCCTTGAAAGATGAGAGTAGTAACAGCAAACTGATGACGTGATAGTCATCACTTTATGACTTGGAGGAATATTTTTGAAGCTGCGGATCAAAAACTAGGCTAAAAAAGAATAGTAGGCTTCAACGGTGTTATGTTGACAGAGTGTGGTTGAAGAATTGGCGTTCATATGCAAGACTAAACTCAAGACAGACCAATTTCTGGGATCCCTACAAAAATGTGTTGAAGTAACTACCAAGGCCATTATTCAACGACGTCGTGTAATGGTTATTACCACACTTTCCTTATATAAGCAAAAATTTAATTAAACGAAAGACAAAACATTCCCTAAACGTCCCTTCAGAGAACAGCGCATCCTTTCTGATTTACGGATAGCAGCTGGAATTTTTCGCGAAACCATTACAGCAGCAGCCCCATGCTACTCAAATACCTGAAATGGGATTGAACTTCCCAGGAAATGTAAAAACTCCTATTCGAATTTGAACCGGATTATAAAAAGATGTAGAGTATTTTTTATATTCAAATAAGAGCGAGTGTTCACTGACTGATGACTTCTCTCTAAGATTTTTCATGCTATTGGTTTTTATTTAATTATTTATTATTATAATTATTTTTTTTTAGGTATGGGCTTTTTCTGTACCCACAACAGAAAATGAAACATGAACAACTAATTTAAAGAACTTTGTAGAAGGGTACGGTGGATTACCCTTGCTTCTGCTGTCTTCTTGGCTTTACCACACACGAACGCAACCAGCAACTAAAATATATTTTCCGCTCGATTTCAATTTTAGAGTAAACTCTTTCTCTATTTCGAATATTTTGACTCCCACACTTATTTTTCAAACAGGAGTACTTGCGGACTGAAAAGATTAGAGAGTATATTTCATCAAAAATCAAACACTTCAAACATTTCCGCTCGCGAGTATTTTTCACTCTCGAGTAAAATCAAGTAAACCGAAGCATAGTCAATAGATTGACTGTAGTCTATAAATGAAAAAGCGCGTAAAGTACCTGTGGTGTTGCAAAATTATGACCAATATGATAAAATGGTGTCCACGGATTAAATTTCTCTCTATGCCTGATAAGAGCGGGATACGACTTTAATAATTACGTAAGAGTGATTGATACAAATTGTGCTGCAAGATTTTTAACTGTTACTTCTACTAGCACCGCGAGAGCAACAATACAAAGAGCAGAGGCCTATGTCGTATCAGATCTTTTCCCGACGAGGAGGTTCCACAACTTTTTACGATAGCTTATGTCGGCACTGCCATCCAAAACGCTAACTCATCCACAGGGTTAAGTCAATGAAGACATATTAGGATGTTGAAACTGAGGAGAGTGAGGAGAACCTCACCAAAGTTCCCAGTCTGTCTCCAACAACACATATATCGTTCCGGAAACATTAAAAATTAACCATTAGTTTTTTCTTTAAAGGGTGCCATCATAGGTGAATCATATCGATCCATACAATTTTAGTTCCGGCAGTAAAGATTCTTGAAAAAATCAACATAGATACGTAGATAGATACCCTCTACCATTTGGTACAAATTTTGAAATTGGAAATTTTCAAAAAAATAAAATCCGTTAAAAATTCTGTTAAAATCTTAAAACTACCGAATGTATTAGGGTCTATACGACGACGTGGACCTGCATAGGCAAATTTTGTCAGATAAGATATTTCAATATTCAAATGCGAAACTTGAAAAAAATCTGTTTATAATGTAGCTAAATTCATCAGAATACCGAATATAGGGAGGTACCATTGGGGTTATAAAACGTGGATCTGCAGAGACAATTTTCTGTCTTAGACTTTAGTATCCATTACGAACTTCAAATACCAAATTTGAAACAATTCCGGTAAATAATGTCGCTAACATCATTAAAATTCCGAATATCGGGGGATACCGTTATATGGGGTTATACGAAGACGTGGACATACATGGCTCATTTTCTGTCTTAGGCTGTAGTATCCATTACGAACTTTAAATACAAAATTTGACAACAACAACAATTTCGGTAAATAATGTCTCTAAAATCATCGAAATACCGAATATCGGAAGCTACCTTCATATGTGGGCTATACGAAGACGTGGACCTACACGACCCAGTGTCAATACCAAAAGTTCTGCATACATAATACACATTTGAGTAAATTTTTATCAACTTACTTCATTTTGTTCGGAAGCCAGAGTGATTTCCACAGACGGACAGAATTTTATGCTAATCAAGAATATATATACTTTGTGGGGTCTAAAATTTATATTTCGAGGTGTTGCAAACGGAATGACAAACTTAATATAAAAATATAAATCCATTTAATTCCGAATGTAAAAAAAGTCCTTTGTAAGAATTTTTATTTCAATTGCAAATTTACAGCGACTTCCGTCGAAAATACTTGGTGAAAGATTTGAAATGCCGATACAAAGAGAGTCGCAAGCCGGCAGCACTTTTTTCTGTAGGCAAACAGTTTTGGTTGACCTGTCATAACGAACCGCATAGTAATGAGAGTGTGATACCTATCTGGCTTTTCTTTTCACTACAAATTTCAGATCTAAGAAAACAAATTAGGATTGTTTGATTGATTTTTTTTTATGTTCGTTGTTCTCCATTCTTTTCAGTTTTTACGCTAAAATATGATTTGTCAAAAACCCTACCTTGTCCCTGCAATGTTACATAAAAAATATTTTTTTTATTTTTTTTTTTTTTTTCAAAATTTTTTTATTTTTTTCTCCAAAATTTGCCAACTAGCCCGTCTGTTCTTTACAAATGTCCATCTTTATTTACTTGTACAAGGATGTGTAATCAGATGACTAGAGATGGAATGACAAGAATAATTACTTTTATAACTTGCGGCAAATCAAGTCATTTAGTTTGACACACTTTCACGAGTGTGAACGGTTGAACTTCAGAAACCTTGCCTTGAGTTCTGCACTGAAAAGATAAGAGAGCGAGAGAAGACATTAGAAGTGCACAGCAACTGATGTCCTGGCTAAGCTTTTGATTGCAGCAAGTCACACATCAGCTTGGGATTTTCTGATGTCATTTGTGACGTAGCGTATTGTGACAGAAAACGTGTGATTGTTCTTCGTGAGAGGGGGAGGAGGATTTGGCAATTGTTTCACATATTTCACACAGATGCAATGACAATTTATGGCAAAAGGAACAAACAATGGAAACACACACAGAACGAGTGTTATTGTTTTATTACATGAAAATATGTTGTCTTTGTTCTCTTGTTTTTTGTTGTTGTTGTTGTTGTGGGTGTTGTTTTTGTTGTACATTCTGGGTCACATCTAAACATATGTACATAATTTGTTATAGGAAAAGCCATGCATAGATTTAATCTAAGCATAAACCATGCACAGATCTACACAATTTCTAAGCAATAATTGCAACTTTCAATGCAGATATCCATCACAGGGAGAGGGCTCCCCCTTTTGCCTTCCTCGTCGGTTGCCAACTTCTGACTGTGGTTAAGCACAAATATTTTGTGAAAAACGAAGACATTTCCCAACCGAACTCTTATGCAAATTTCAATTGAATCTTTGCATTGGAAGTGTGATGC